TAAGCCATCTCTCCACCAGGAGCAACTTCCATGGTAGGTACTGCTGGTAGCCATGGCTGCTGCCCCTCTTCCCCCTTCTGCTTTCTTTCTTCAGTATCCCTTTCTTTTTGCTTCCTTTTTTTAAATGTTTATTTCTGAGAGAGATACAGAGACAGAGAGAGAGAGAGAGAGAGAGAGCATGAGCGGGTCAGAGAGGGGGAGATAACAGAATCTGAAGCAGGCTCAAGGCTCCAAGTGAGCTGTCAGCACAGAGCCCGATGTAAGGCTCGAACCCACGAACTGTGAGATCATGACCGGAGCTGAATTCAGACGCTTAACCAACTGAGCCACCCAGGCACCCCTCTTTTTGCTTCCTAAGAAAGGAACTTTGAGGTAATGAGAATGGTAAGGTATGTGTTAATGACAGTAACTGAGCCAGCCTTGGGAGAAAGGGTAGGCACTGGCGCCATTCCCTCCATGGCTAGGCCTTGAGCTACATGGTTGGTGGTTGGCATTTTCTCGCCTCTCTGCTTCCTTCTCTTCATCCCTCTTCCCCACTGCCTGGAGAAGGTTTGGTTTAAACTCAAGGACCACTGAGACTTTCCCTTTCTGACCGCTTCTTGTAGAAATGGCTAGGAGAAGCCTCAGATATACAAGCTTGTTGAGCCAAGTCCCTCTTTGGGGAGGAGAGGTCTTGTGATATCCTAGAAAGGGCTGGAGATTCTGAGCCTCATCTTCATTATGTGTGCTCTTGGCAAAGCAATTCAGCTGTGTGTCTGTTTCCTCGTCTCTAAACTGGGGATACTAATCGCTCTTACTGATAAGGTTGGAGTAAGGACTGAATTAACTAATATATGCAAAGTGCTTAGTGCCTGGCACGTCTAAAGTGGTCAGTGAATGGTCCCTGTTCTGTTTTTATAAAGTTCATGGTATGTCAGGCATTAAGCTGACATAGGATTGCATTCACACACAGGATTGCATTTAATCCAGGCTATAATTAGTAAGGGATAGTTCTCTTCCTCATTTTACAGACAAAGAACCTACAACTCAGAAAAGTGACTTGCCCAAGGTCACACAGCTAGGCGTAGAATATCAGTGCAGACTGTCTCCAAGTCTAGGGAGGTTTAACAATAATACTAGACCGAGTATTAGACCCTATTGATAGTTTCCTCTCCTTTCCCAAATTAGGGCTAGAAGACTTCAGCTCTTGCTACAGTTTCTCTGCTAGGATTTTCCTTCCAGTAGCTTCTGGTTTTCTCCCAGTGGTCCCAAAGCCCTATTGCCTTGCTTCTGTCTCCTTTGGGATTGTTTCCTACTCCTGAAGACAACCTTGAGAGTAGGGGCCTTTGTAAGCTACATTTCAACGTGTGGCAAGGGAGTAGCAAGTAGCCGAACCTTGATAGCGTGTAGACAAATCCGGTGGGAGTACTGTTGAACAATCCAGAGCGACAAGTCTGAGCCAATAACCTTTATTATAGTTTGTACTATTTATTGACCACTTGTTATCTATCAGGCTGTGTCTCAGATGCTTTGAGAATATTATTCCTAATCCTCACAATAACCCAGCCAGGTAGATTATTGTTCCTTTTTTTTTTTTTTCAGATAAGAAAACCAAAGCTCAGATGGGTTAAATGCCTTGCATAGAATCATACATCCAAAGTGGTAGGATTAGGATATGAAATGAGATCCATCTCACTCATGTTTGTCTCCTTCCTTACCAGCCTGATACAGGTGGTGGGATGAGACTGACATACATGAAATGGTGATGTGCAATATAAAACATCATATTATTATGGGATAAATTGTGAGGACTACATAACTAAGGACAAGCACCCTGGAGGATATGGTACTTGAACAGCACCTTGAAGAATAGGTGGGATGCAGATTGAAAAAAAAATGAGAGGGGGATTCCAGATGAAGGGAATAGTCAGAGTAATAACTAAATAGGCTGATGGCTTACCAGACCTTTTTCTAAGCAGTTGAAATGCATTGTCTCATGTGATCTTTTCAACCCCATGAATTAGGTATTTTATCCCTGTTTTACTGCCATGGAAACTAGAGCTCTGAGAAGTGAAGTCACCTGGGCAAAGTAATGGAACTCATAAGTGAGAGAGCTGGGATTCAAACCAAGGTGGCCCATCTCCAGAGTCTGTGTTAGATTCTATTGGAAAACCAACAGCAAAGGCACAAAGTTGGTTGCAGGACATGACTGGAGCACAGACATGGGAAATTGGGCTGGGTGGGTAAAGATAGCTTATTTACAGCTTTGAACATCTCACCCAGTTTATATTTGAGGCAGGACAGGGGAAGAATTAGGGAGCCAGGAAAGATTCTTGAATGGGCAAGTGCCACAATTCAATTGGTGTTTGACATGATTGGATCCAAAAGCAATGACTGGAGATGGAACAAAGAGAGACTGGCTGGCAGACTTACAGGATTTTGGACATTATAGTGTTAAGGGCCTGGACTATAACAGAAGGTGTTGGTGGTGAGCTCTGTGGAGAAGTGTGATTATATAGAATAGTGTCAATGAAATGGGGAGAGAGAGAGAGGGAAAGAAAGAGAGAGAGAGGTAAAGCCAGCAAGATACAAAAGAAGACCCAGTAGAACTCAATGAAGGATTGGATGGCTGGAGGGAAGGTGGTATTAAGGGTGACCACCCACATTTTAAACCCTGGACTTTTCAGAAATTCTGGATGTGGAAGAAGAGCTCAAAATATGAGAGGTGCCTTGTTCTCCACTGTATCCTCAGTGCCTGGAAGCATAGCACACAGTAGACACACATGGTTCATAGTATGTAGCAGTACATAGTACTTCTGTGAGCTGCTTTATCCACAGTTGTTATTGGATGACTACCAGGTAATAGTGGTTGGAAAGATTTCTACCAACATGGCTTTGTGTGTGAGACTCTGGAACAGGCACCCTTCCTCCTCCTGCTCTGAGGTCTTCTTGTGCCTCCAGATTCCCTGCTGGGCACTCTGAAACCCATTATAGAACACTATGGTTAAAAGTGGGGGCCCCACTTGGCTTTCCTTCCCATAAATCCTAGCCAGCACTGCTGACCTGTGGCTCTGGTTCCTGACCTTTGATAAGCAGCTTCCCTTGCCCTTCCTCTTACAACTCCTTGTCCGTGTCTGGCCTGTTACCACTCTACCCTTATTTTCCCTAGCAAGGTTGTTCCCCTCAGGACTGCCTATTTGGGCCTTGGGCCTCTAGAGCCTTGCACTGCTGGGATTTTCTGTGTTTCTGTTAGGGTGAGGGGCATTCCCAGCTAGGATGGAATTCAGCTCAAGTCTATCCACTACTGCTCCTGGGAGGTAGAGAGCTGATCATCTCACTAGATGACAAGCTCGTTCAAAACAGGGGCCCTTATCTTAGTCAGCTCTGCACCCTTGTATGGAGCTTGCAGCAGTAAATGATTGAATAAGTTAAGGAAGTTATCATCATCATCATCATCATCATCTCTCTCTCTCTCATCTAATTATTTGTCATCCTCTTACTCTGTCATTCATCTCTTTATCACCCATTTCTCTCTACTATGTATTTCTCTGTAATCTCTCTGTTTTCTCCTGTTCTGTCATTTGTTTCCCTTCTCGCTCTTTTTTAAATTTTTTAATGTTTATTTATTTTTGAGAGAGAGACAGAGAATGAGTGGGGGAAGGATGGAGAGAGAGAGAGAGAGAGAGAGAGAGAGAATGGGAATCTGAAGCAGGCTCCAGGCTCTGAGCTATCAGGACAGAGCCTGACGTGGGGCTTGAACTCATGAACTGTGAAATCATGACCCGAGCTGAAGTTGGACACTTAACTGACTGAGCCACCCAGATGCCCCCCCCCACTCTTATCTCTAGTCTGTCTTTCCTCCCTTCCTTCCTTCCTTCCTTCCTTCCTTCCTTCCTTCCTTCCTTCCTTCTTTCTTTCTTTCTTTCTTTCTTTCTTTCTTTCTTTCTTTCTTTCTTTCTTTCTTTCTTTCCTTTCCCCATCCCACCCTCCCTCTCTTCCTCATCAATCTTCTCCTTATCTTCTGCTCCATTACCCAGGCTCCACGTGTGCTCTTCCCCATATTATTCTTCCTCATTTGCAAGGGTGGCATGTATTCATGGAGAATATACCAGAGGACAGGGATGGGTCTTGTCTAATTCAGTCAGTGCAAGAGTATGGCTTCAGCCTCCAGCACCAGACAGATCCTGTGGTTGCTTTCAGGGCATTGGCCTGAGACCTGTTTCCTTCTATGTACCCCTGCCACGCAAAGCAGCCAGTCTCTGTGTCAGCCTAGCACTGCAACATTCACCATTTCATGCTGTTTTCCCTGGCAGGAGTTGGGGCTCCTTGCCCTCCTCTTTGCCTGTAAACTCAGGCATCTCACCTCCGTGCCCATCTTGTCCTTCACTCTCTCAGTGCCTTCACCATGCTTTATTTGAACTAGCTCTCTCTCCCACTAATCTGTAAGCCCTCAAGTGCAAAGACTATGTTTGATTCATCTCTGTATCCCCAGAGCTATGCACAGACGGTACATAGTGAAGAAGTAAACATATAACAAATGTTTATCAAATGAACAAGTGAAAATTGGAGGATTTGCAACCTAGTGTTGACTTCTTTGAACTACTCAATCATTTGCCTATTCTTTTCTTAGAGAAAAATGGGAAGTTTGGCCAGATTGATTTTTTTTTTTTCTCAAAGAAAACTTAGGGTAGGCTCACTGTTGATTGGGCAGCAGTACTCATTTATTCCACAAATACTTACTAAGCATCTACTATGGGTCTGGAACTGCTGTGTGTGCCTGGGATACACCCATGAGCAAGACAGCCCTGTGAAGCTAACATTCTATATATACACGCCTCATCATCAGCACAAAGGAGATTTAAGTGCTGGGAGCCGAGGAGGGCCACTAAGATTCCCATACCAGCTCCTTGCAAGATGTTCTACTTCATTTAAGGGAAAGAGGGGGTGGGGGTGGAAGTTGCATAGGAAGTGATTTCAGCTCTGGTTCCCTAAGCTGACTTCCTGTCCCTTTCTTGCTGTAGGAGAAACGCCCCTGTCAGTAGGCCACACTCATGGCATGTGGCCAAGCTGCTGGAGGGATGCCCTGAAGCAGCCACCACCATGCATTTCCCTTCTGAAGCCTTCAGTTTATCCTGGCATTCCGGCTGCAACACAAGGTGAGTCTAGAACCTTCCCCCTCAAGATGGACTGGAGGGTAGATGACCTGGCCACTCCTCGTCTACTAAAGTCCCCAGCTGCACGCTATAGAACCCAGAATACTATAATGGAAAATGGAGTGGGAACCCATAGTACCTGGGTTCTAGTCCTAGGCTACTTACTGCTAATTCTCTGTGACTTTGGGACAGTCCCTTTCCTTCTAGAAAATGTTTCCTTGAAATACTCATCGCACTTGCCTTGCAAGACACCACACTCCCCTGCTTTTCATCCTATTTCAGTGGCTGCTCCTTTGCAGTCTATTTCCCTGGTTCCTCATCATCACTGCCCACCACCCCCTCCCCCGGGTCTCTTAATGCAGGAGGGCACCGTGGCTCGGTTCTGGTTCTCTTCTCTAGCTACAGTGACTCACTGATGATCTCATCCAGAGTTCATCAGCTCTGTCACAGGGCCAAAGCCCTCAGAATGGGCACCTCCCTGAAGAACAGGGTCTATTTGCCATGAGGCTCTCTCAATTTGGGGGGCCTGGTATTGTCTGTTGTCAAAATAGCTGCCCAAAAGGGACAGATAACTTTTTCTGCAAACTCAGAGCCAAGAGGGCTGCTGGCCTCAGCTACCTTTTCCCTTCCACAAAAAGAACTGCCCTCTAAGAAGGAATTTCTGATGATGAGGCTCAGGGAATCTAAGGGTTGAATTTGCCCCCAGTCAATGACTTTATTTGGCACCAAAATACAGGAGTTCCAGGCAGAGGCAGTTTTATTCTGGAAGAATACACTGAAACACATTCTGAGCTTGGCTCCTGTTTGAGTGGGGGTGTGGTTGCCTGCAGCAGGAAGGGTGGTAGAGTGGGTGGCAGGTTCCCTTGCCAACAAGGAATTGATGGATTCTTAGCCCAGAAGTCAAGTGAGCAGAGTGGCTAAGGGGCAAGGCAGGAAGCAAGTATGAAGGGTGGCTGATCTGAGAGTCTTGGGAGCCCCTGCCACCACTCAGTTATGGCTCTCTGAACTGTGGCCTTTCTGAGAACAGTCTGTGACTTCAGGAGTTCTAGGCATAGGGAGTTACTGGCATGACTTGGCTCACTTTGACTTTGTTTGTGGGAAATGGTACTTAAAATTCAAGATTGTGTCTGATCCCGGTCCCTTCTTTGGTCTCCCTGGTTTGGCTTTGCTATGAGGGAAGAGGGAGGGATGGGTACACAAGGCCAACTGTAATATCAACACTAGTGGCTCCTCTCTTGCTTTTTGTTTTAATTGCTATTGTTATCAGCAATTAAAACAAAAAGCAAGAAAGGAGCAGTTAACTGTGTATTGAACCTTTGCTAGGTGTCTGGGCTGCGACAAGAGTTTTACATTTATTAATTGCTGTCACACACAAAGCAACCGGTATTATGTTATTATTATTAATACAGATATTATTATAATTCCCATTTAACAAATAGTATAGCAGAAGAGCTAAGACATTGTACTCACAGAGGCTTGGGTTCAAATTCCAGCTTTGCTTCTTTAGCAGCTTTGTAAGCTTGTCAGTTTACCTTGCTAAGCTTGTTTTCTCAGTTGTGTGTGTGGGGGGGAGGTGCGGATAATAATCTATCCCCTTCAGTCTGAAATGAGACATTGTAAAGTGCCTGGCACATTGTAGGTCCTTGGTAAATGGTCAGGATCACTGCTACCAAGAAGAGAACTGGGTGTTGCCTAAATTCTGGGCCTGTCTGGGTCACAAGCTACAGCTGGGTGATCTTGAGAAAATCACCTCCTCAAAATCACTTCCTTTTGCAGGGCTCGCTTTACTTCAGGGGTTCTCAAAAGTGTGGTCCCTGGACCAACAAAGAATACCAGCATCACCTGAGGACTCGTCAAAGGCAAAAATTCCCAAGATCCACCCAGACCTAACATTCTGGGGATGGGGCCCAGAAACCTGTGTTGTTTGGACAAGCCCTCCCTGTGCTTCTGATGCACACTCAAATTTGACAGCCACTGATTTACAAAATGGGCTGGCTGAAATTGAATCAACCCTTTAGAGTCCCTCTCTAATACTAATATTCTGTGATTGTCTCTCCTGGCAGAGAGCCACATGCTGACTCCCTAAGGACAGTGACAGGCCAGAAACAATTCTAGACTCACTGGCGGCAGGGAAACAGAACATAAGCCCCAGTGGAGTTCTTACACTTTTAGTCTTTGGGATCCTGCCCACTCCCGTTTCCATATGTTGTCTTGTCTCCCATTTTACCACATCTCTCCAGTGCCCCAGTGTCCATATTTTTCACTGTTTCCCTTCTTTCTTTTTGGCCTTATCTCCTTCTTATTTGTGGCACGGGTGCCTCTGGGTTGTTCTGCCTTCTCCCATGGCAGGGCTGGCCAAGGCGGGAGAGGGATGTGGTAATTTGGCTAACTAACCAGTATGCCCTGTGTCTTGCAGTGACGTGTGTGTGCAGTGGTGTCCACTCTCCCGGCACTGCAGCACTGAGAAAAGCAGCTCCATTGGCAGCATGGAGAGCCTGGAACAACCAGGCCAAACTTCCTACGAGGGCCACCTCTTGCCCATGGATCAGAACATGTACCCCAACCAGCGTGACTCAGCCTATAGCTCCTTCTCAGCCAGCTCAAATGCCTCTGACTGTGCCCTTTCCCTCAGGCCAGAGGACCCAGGCTCTGCAGACTGCATCATGCAAGGCCCGGGGCCAACGAAAGCCCCCAATGGCCGGCCCAATGTAGCTGAGACCTCCGGAGGTAGCCGGCGCACCAATGGGGGCTACATGACTCCAAGCTCCCAGATGTCATCCCGCCCACAGGAGTCCCACCACTCTGGGCCTGCCAAGGCTACCAGAGGCCCACCACAGCCTCCAGTGAGGCGAGACAGTCTTCAGGCCTCCAGAGCCCAGCTCCTCAATGGAGAACAGCGCCAGGCCTCTGAGCCTGTGGACTCCTTGCAACAGAAAGAGATAGTGAGCTTAGGCACTGTGCTATCCCCAAGGAACCCTAACAGATTCTGCTGCCTCAGCGGGCAAGACCAAGTGACAAATGAGGGCCATGAGAACTGTGAGCTCAGCCAAGCTCCTGAATCTAGCCAGCAAGACTCTGAGAATCTACTGATGGAGGCCTCAGCCAAAGCTGTTGGATTCCCAAAAGTGTATGACAAAACTTTCAGCATAGATTCCAGCCCACTCAACAAGGCTTCACCAGAGCCAGCTAAGGCTGCTTCTGTTGGCAGCCCTTCACACCTCACAGGACCCATGGGGCATCGCCATAGTGCCCCTGAACAGCTTCTGGCATCCCACTTACAGCATGTACACCTTGATATGAGGGGCAGCAAGGGGATGGAGCTCCCAACTGGACAGGATGGGCATGAGTGGACTCTGTCACCTTTGCATAACAGTCACACAGGGAAGAAAAGTCCATGTCACCCCACAAGAGGAACTCAGGACCAGCCCATCAAAGAGAGAAAGACCAGGCAAGTGGATGACAGGCCTCTGGGTTCAGGGCACCAGAGTTTGAGCAGTTCCCCACATGGAGAGGCTGATGGACACCCTCCAGAGAGAGGTTTCCAGGACCCAAACAGAGCCTGCAGAGCAGGCAGTGAACTAGCCAGCCAGCAGCCCTCTGCCTCTGGCTCCCTTGTTCAACAAACCAGGGATTGTTCTTCAACCACTAAAGTAGCTGACAGCACAGAGGCTACTGAAGAAGGGGACAGTGAACCAAAGGAATGTGGCCGGGTGGGTGGGAGACGAAATGGTGGGCCCCGGGGCCGCTCAATCCAAAACCGGCGGAAGAGTGAGCGTTTTGCTACCAATCTGCGTAATGAGATTCAGAGGAGGAAGGCCCAGCTTCAGAAGAGCAAGAATCCCTTGTCACAGCTGTGTGACACTAAGGAGCCAGTGGAAGAGACTGAGGAGCCCCTAGAAAGTACTTCATTTCCTGCCTCAAACTCATCTCTTCTGTCTTCATGTAAAAAACCACCTAGCCCCAGGGACAAGCTCTTCAACAAGAGCATGATACTCAGGGCTAGGTCTTCAGAGTGCCTCAGCCAAGCCCCTGAGAGCCATGAATCTAGGACAGGATTAGAGGGACAAAGAAGCCCTGGCCAGAGGCCTGGCCAGCCTTCTTTGGGCCTGAATGCCTGGTGGAAAGCGTCTGACCCATCTTCCTCAGACCCTGAGAAAACAAATGTTCACCGTGGAGTCCATGGAGGTCACTGGAGATGGTCTCCAGAGCACAACCTGCAGCCACATGTGGCACTAGCCATGGAAGGCCCTTCTAACCCAAGTGACAGCAAGGAACTGAAGGCTTCTACTGCCCAAGCTGGTGATGAAGCCATCCTCCTGCCCTTTGCAGACAGAAGAAAGTTCTTTGAAGAGAGTAGCAAATCCTTATCTACATCACATTTGCCAGGTTTAACCACTCATAGCAATAAGACTTTTACCCAGAGACCAAAACCTATAGACCAAAACTTCCAGCCAATGAGCTCTAGCTATAGGGAATTGAGGCACCATCCAATGGACCAATCATATCATTCCACAGACCAACCATATCATGCCACAGACAAATCATATCATTCGATGTCACCCCTTCAGTCAGAAACTCCTACATACTCAGAATGTTTTGCAAGCAAAGGTCTAGAACAATCCATGTGCTGTAAGCCGCTGCACTGTGGGGATTTTGACTACCGCAGGACCTGCTCCTACTCCTGCAGTGTCCAGGGCGCCGTAGTCCATGACCCTTGCATGTATTGTTCTGGGGAAATCTGCCCTGCTTTGCGAAAGAGAAATATGATGCCAAACTGCTACAACTGTCGGTGCCACCACCACCAATGCATCCGGTGTTCAGCTTGCTATCATAATCCACAGCACAGTAGTCCTGAGGATGGCAGCTTGGCACCTGGCAATACTTGGAAACCTAGGAAGCCAACAGTGCAGGTGAGGACTTGGTTCTTAGATGGGTTTGCTTCCATTATTCTCTCAGTGAGGAGAAAGCAAGGTAAATCATTGGAAAATAAAATTACAATTCCTTGAAGAATTGTAATAAGGAATAAGAATAAGGAATAAGAATTCCTTGAAGCTATTCCTTCTCCAAGTGGTAGCTTAGTAACCTTGGGCAAGACACTCAGCCACCAAAATCACAGTTAACCCATCTTTAGATGAAAATGACTTTTGCCTCACAAAATGGACTGAACTGGGATGTATATCCTGACTGTAAAATTGGTATCTGAGTGACCTTGAGCAAGTCATTTAACCACCAAAACTTGCATTACCTGAATTTTTTAAAATGTTATTTATTTACTTTGAGAGAGAGAGAGAGAGCATGAGCAGGGTAGGGGCATGGAGGGGTGAGAGAATCCCAAGCAGGCTCTGCTTTGTCAGCATAAACCCCGATGTGGGGCTTGAACTCACAAACCATGGGATCCTAACCCGAGCCAAAACCACAAGTCAGATGGTCAACCAACTGAGCCACCCAGGTGTCCCCCAGTTAAATGATTTTAATGGGGGGGGGGGGAACAGAGTTTTTACCTTATAAAATGGCCAATACTGAGAAAAGTCTTATTACCTCATCTCTAAAGTGGAGGAAAATAATGGCTGCCTCATAGATCAGTTGTGAAGATCAAGCAGGTCTAGTGCCTGACAGAAAATAGCATTTATTCTTTTCTCATTCCTGCTTAAAAAACTACTTGCACCTGCAAAATTTGCAAATGTCCTTCAGGTTTTCTAAAGAACAAATCCTTATGCCCTTCTCCAGCCTACATTTGTAATGGACCCAGGTCTAGACTAGCTGTTGCTATACCCTGGTTGTGACCTACACCCCCCCAAACACAGGCTACCACCATCCCCCAAGGGACTACTGGGAGGATCCCCTATGTCCTTCACTGTCAGATTCCTTCCCCATGGCTTCCCTAGTGCCACCTTTTGGCTGCTGCACTAAAATCAGAAGTTAATTCCTGTGTTGAACCATTGTTGCAGAGGTAGACACTTCTGAATAACTTAGTGTATGGAGTTTTTCAATACACATTCTTTAAAAAAAAGGAACCTTAAGGTTAAAAGAAGCTTTACACAAGAGTATATGCTATTCCTTTTATGTAACATTCTATAACAGCTATTCTGTGGGAAACAAGAAAACAGTGGTTACCTACAGAAGGTGCCACAGAGATTGAGCGGGAAAAGGCATGAGGGAACTTTATCAGATGGTGATAATGTTCTGTATCTTGATAAGCGTTTGAGTTACACAGGTGTATGCATTCACTGAAACTCAACAAATGTGCACTTAATATTTGTGCATTTCCCTGCAAGTAAAGTTTACCTAAAAACATTATAAACAAGTATCACACTTTATTTAGTATGTATGCTGAAGTTTTTGAAGTATATTGATGTACACAACTTATAGTTTTCAGCATACAAATGTTGCACATATTTTGCTATTTACCCCTAGAATTTCCCGTTTTTGATGCTATTGTAAATAGTATCATTTTCTTAATGTCAAGTTAAAATTCATTGTTAATACTATATGGAAATATAATTTAATTTTGTATATTGGTCCTGTATCCTTCAACCTTGCCAAACTCACTAGTTTTAGTAGCTTTGTGGTAGATTTTAAAAGATTTCCTACATAGACAATCATGTCATCTGCAAACAAAACTGTATTTTTATCTTCCTTTCCATTGTGTATACATTTTCTAGGGGAAGGGGGCCTTATTGCACTGTCTAGGACCTCCAACACAATGTATAGTAGAAATAGTTAAGTGTGGCTAGTGTTTCATTGTCCCTATCTTTCCCTATTAAGTTTGATGTTAGCTATAGGTTTGCCATAGATGCCCTTTGATGGGTTGAGGAAGTTTTCTTTCATTCCTAGTTTGCTGAGAGCTTTCATCAGGAGCAGATGCTAGATTTCTTATAATGCTTTGTCTATATTATTGAAATGACCCTAAAGTTTTCTCTTTTACTCTATGGATATGGTGAATTCTATTGATTGATTTTTGAAATAAGAACAAGATTAGCATTGACAGATTAAATCCTACTTGGTCATGACATAGTGTCCTTTTTATATATTACTAGATCTGATTTGCTAATATTTTGTTAGTGATATTTTTGTTTATGATGATCAGGGATTTTAGTCTGTAGTTTTCTTCTAATGTCCTTGCCTGGTTTTCATGACAAGGTGCTGGCCTTACCAAAGACGTCAAGAGGTAGTCCCTCCCCTTCCATCTTCAAGAAGAGTTTGCATAAAATTGGTATCATTTCCTCCTTAAATGTTTAGAATTTATCGTTGAAGTAATCGGAACCTGGAGTTTGGTTTGTGGAATAATTTTAAACTACGAATTCCATTTCTTTGATAGATACAGGTCATTTTGGTTACCTTTTCCTTCTTGAGTGAGCTTTGTTAATTCATCAAGAAAAATCTATTTCCTTTAAGTTTTCAAATTTATGGCGATAAAGCTCTTTGTCACTTTAAAAATGCATCAAGAGTGTAAGATGGATTGGTGGGTGGGTAGGGGAGTGAATATGTATGGAATCAGGTAGAGGTAGTAACATAATCATTGTAGAATCTAAGTGGTGGGTATATGGGTAATTGTAAACTTGTTCAACTTTTCTGGATGCTTGAAAATACTTATGACAAAATATTGAAGCAAAGAGGAGAGGAAATATAATGTAATGGTTAAAAGGGCACTGATGCTGGAACCAGACTGCCTCCATTCAAATTCCTAAGCTTCCCCATCTGAAAAAAAAAAAAAAAAAAAAAAACACGCAGGTAATATAGTACCTACTTTACCTATTTCATAAGTTGGTTGAGAGGATTAAATGGTGAAACATGGGTAAAGCGCTTAGAACAGTGACTAAAAGAGAGTTATCATCTTTTGAGTGTGAGTTATTGTTTCCTAAAGTAAAGGGAGATTTGGGCTTAGCTTGAAATGTTTGCTGAAAGAAGGTCCTGCGAGTAGACAGTAGAGGCTGAAGTTGGGGGGAAGGACATGATGGATTGCAGGAGTGTCGCCCCAGAGCTGGTAGCTCCATAAAGAAGGAGGTGAAATGTGCAGGTTGCAGCAGTTGGTAGCAGCAATGCAGGTGTGCCTTTGCCCACACCATGCCTCTCCTGTTGTACTCTGAAGGAAGGGGACACATTGGGTTCCTGATGCCAGTTAGACCAGTTTGGCAGGTCTGCTTAGACACTAGGCTTTCAGATATGTGGAGTCACTTCATGTCCGTTTCTTCCCCAGCCACCTGAACACACAAGCATACATGCAGACAAAAGGAAACTTGCAATATGGGATAAGACACCCCAGCTCAGATGACTAAGGTGGTTGTGATGGTGGCTGTCTGAAGTAAGGCTGAGATCCTGTTCCTTATGGCCCCTGGAAGAGGTTAGGGAGATAATTAGCTCTTTACTGCTGTTAAGAGTACTAAAATCAGGGGTGCTTGGGTGGCTCAGTCGGTTAAGCATCTGATTTCAGCTCAGGTCATGATGTCATGGTTCGTGGGTTCGAGCCCCATGTTGGGCTCTGTGTTGACAGCTCACTCAGAGCCTGGAGCCTGCTTCAGATTCTGTATCTCCCTCTCTCACTCTGACCCTCTCCTGCTCATACTGTCTCTCTCTCTCCCTCCCTCTCTCTGAAATAAATAAAACATTTTTTAAAATTTTTAAATAAAAAGAACTAAAATCAGCATGTACTTACATTCCTAATACTTCATACCAGTTAGTTTTGCACATATTATCAGATTATTTAATTTACCAATTGTTTGAGTTTAAGGTATAATAGGATCCCCATTTTTAAATATGTTTTTATTTTCAATGCTTAATTTTGAGAGAGAGAGAAAGAGACAGACTGCAAGCGGGGGAGGGGGGTGCAGAGAGAGAGTGAGACACAGAATCTGAAGCAGCGTCCAGGCTCTGAGCTGTCAGCATAGATCCTGATGCTGGGCTTGAACTCACAAACCACAAGTTCATGACCTGAGCTGAAATTGGACACTCAACCAACTGAGCCACCCAGGCGCCTGCAGGATCCCCATTTTATAGCCAAAGAAGCTGAGGCTCACAGAGGTGACATATCTAGCAAGTGGCAAAGGCAAAACTTGAACAACATAACCATAATAGACATTTGAGTATCCACTGTGCACCCAGTATTATTCTAGGTGCTTTACATGTATCAATTCATTTAGCCCTGGAAGCAATTGGGGAATAAGGTACTGTTATTATTGATGATGTCACTATTAAATAGCTGCGGGAGATGAGCTAAAGAGAAGCTGGGTAGTTTGCCTGAGATCACACCACTAGGGAAGGGCAGGTGTGGAATTTGAATCCATGTCACCTAGCTTCAGAGGCCAAGCTCCTAGTTGTGCTAAACTGCCTCTCCATATTATAATTGAAAATCCCAGGCCCAAACTAAGGGTTGATGGGGTGGGGGGTGCAGGGAAGAGGAGAAAATGGGTGATGGGCATTGAGGAGGTCACTTGCTGGGATGAGCACTGGGTGTTGTATGTAAGTGATGAATCATGGGAATCTACTCCAAACCAAGAGCACACTGTATACACTCTATGTTAGCCAACTTTACAATAAATTATATTAAAAATAATAGATAAATAGAATATGCTATTTTAAAAACTAAAAACCTAGATGGATATTGTCAAACTCTTTCTGAAGACAGTGCTCATCTTCCCCAAAACCTTGTTAATATTTAGGATTTTCATTAAGTTTTACCTGGGGTAATTAAATTAGGAGAAAATTGGAATACAAAAAAAAAAAAAAAAGAAAGAAAGAAAAGAAAAGAAAAAGAAAAGCCTAGGCCCTCTCCAGTATGACAAGATGCCTTCTAGCAGTATAACTTTGATTGGTGCAGCAATTGAACCCCGTCTGTGACAAGCTGTAGGGATCCCTACCTTGTTGGTTCATAGAGTGCAGGCAATTTACAGCAACTTAAGTGGCTCAAGGAAAAGTAAGGTGATACTGGGGCGCTGAGAAGGAGGTTGCAAATTGGGACAGGACTTTGTTTGGTTTAGCCACTGCTATTTACTGAGCACTTTCCACAGGGCATGGACAGGAAATCCTGCTCCCACTGTGGCTGAATGAGTAATAGTGTCTTTGAGGGCAGGGACATCTCAGAAGGGTGTTGAGGCAGAGTCTGAAGTCTAACAAGTGGTCAGAGCTGCTCTAACATAACAGGTACAGGCATGGAACGCTCTGGTTTTGGGAAACCTATAAAACCTCATCTTTCCTGACTGCTAACATCTACAGCCTCCCGCACGCCAAGCACTGTGTTAGGCCTTCTCTATGCATATCCCATTTTGTCCTCACTCCCAGGAAGGTAGCAAAGCTTGATGGCATAGTCCTTATTTGCCAGATAGGAAGCTGAGGTTCAGAAAGGTGATGTAACTTCCCTCAGACAACACAGCTAATAAGTGTCTTGCCAGTATGACTAACACCAAGTATCTTACCCCAAAAGGGAGTAATTTTTTTTAACTGGGGCGAAGGTTAATAAAACTTTGAATAGGATCAATGATATAGCATTGGAGGAAGAGGGAATTTGGGAAATCGGTGAAGTTTAGGAAAAATTGTGCTTTCCTATTGAGCTAAGCTCTGGGTTGCTGGGTAGAGGATACTGGATGCAAAGTCAGAGAGAATGTCGAATGCAAATTTGCATCAGGTTTGGAGCTAGAATAGGAAGGGAGGAACATTTTTACAAATGGCACATATGGCTTGAGTTACAGGTTGCTTGGGTAATTCCCTAAGGAAAAAATGGCCAGGGTGGAGAGCATGCTCCTGTAATATGGGAACCATGGCACCTGGGACTCATGCTCCCCAGAGATGAGCCCACCTCAGCCCCTGCCAGAGGATCTGGGAGGAGGAGGAAAGGCCCCTGTAGTACAGAGGTGTGCTGGCATGCATGCTCTCTGTGTGCCTTACCCTGGGAGAAGGTTACAGCTTCAGAGGGTTCCAGGCCTGAAAGCCCCCTCAAGGGCGAGGACTTCAAAGAAGATGCTTTCTATATTAGAAGAGGCAAGAGGAATGAGCAGGTTCACCTGGCAAAACAAACAAAAAGACCTCCTTTACAAGAGCCAGAGCAAACAGCAAACGTGCTAAACTGGTTTACAAGGTAGTTTGGGAGGGGAGTGGAGAAAGAGAGAGAAATACAGAGTTTCTAGAGCACATGATCCAGGATCCAGGTCTCTGAGTACTCTATTAGTCTCTGCATGCTCCCAGCAGTTCACCAGGCCTCCGGACAGAAAGGCAGTGCTCCAGGTACATATTTCTCTTGCCTATGTGGGAGAGTAGAATAAACCAAGTGTGTGTGTGTTTGGGGGCGTCTAGCCAGGGACAGGCTTCTGACCTCTTTACATTTTTTAGGCCATCTGGATACCTCAATGCTTGGAGCTCCCTAACTTATCAGAATTTTGCTTTGCAGGAATTTCCTGGGGACAAATGGAAACCAATAACAGGAAACAGGAAGACCAGCCAGTCAGGGAGGTAAGTGATCACTCAGGGAGTTGGGGTGCGTTGATGTCTCTGAGGCTTCTATAGGAATTACTGAGATCTTCTGTTTGTTCAGTTTCCTTTGAGGAGCCTGGCCTGATGTGTCCATACCAAGAACTTGATACCACAGATATAATCTAGCCTGCCCCCAGGCAGCTGGGCTACAGACCAAACTGATCACTAGGACGTTTTGGAATACATAGTAGTCAGGTAGTTTACTGTGGGACAGTGTGCCCATCAGCTCAGAGGCCTGGGGCAGACTTGCCTGTCCACAAGGACATGTGGGAGCAGATTGTGCTGAAATAAAGATGAGATGGCATAAACTATACTCACCTCCCCAGCAGCCACTGGACAATTAATTGGAGAAGACAGAGAGGAGGTAAGACTGTCCAGCTACCACTGTGCCTTTGCCTCCATTGCTGGAATCACCTGTTTTTTGGCCTCTGCCACCTTTCTTTTTACATGGCTTAAAGGGTGAAGAACTTAAGGCAAGTCAGGGGCAGTTCATGCTAACAATAGATTAAAATTCCTGGAAGAAGGTAGGAACATTTTTTCAAATGGCACATATGGCCTGGACTAGAGGGAACAGAGTTTCTTGGGCAAAACACTTAAGGAAAAAAAAGTGGAGAGTCACTCCTGTAATGTGAGGAGCCTGGCACACAGCGCTCATGCTCCCTAGAGATGACCCCACCTGCCATAGGTGATTAGCAGGAGTGGCTTCAGTTAGCTTTTCCAGTTTGCTCTCCATCAGCCTGGCATGATCTTCTTTTTTGTGAAATTACTTGATATGTTCTTTTAGCCAGTTCTTCTCTAGGCCAAATTATACAAGATACCCCAAAATTATATTGATTAACTCAAACTCTAGAAATGAAAGGGGAAGAAGGCCCTTAGCTATGCCTCTGTAGAGGCACCAAGGGAGTGGACTAGAATCTGGGTTTCCTGACCCCGTGTAATTTGATGATACAGTCAGGAATGATTTTGGCTTTCTTTTGACTCCAAAGTTTGGGACACCCACCAGGTTCCTGGCTGGCCATGAGAAAAGAGAGGAACCCAACATTTATGAATAATCTGCTAAATGTCAGTCACTGGGCTGGATCTTTTTTAACCCGTAATCTCATTTATTCTCCACAACAATTCATTTAATTACCTATTTTGTAGATGAGGTCCAGAGAGAGTATATAACTTAGCTGAGGTCCCACAACCAATAAGCAATGGAGCCAGAATTTGGACCCAGGTTTGTCTGACCCAAAGTTTATGCTTTTCTCCTAACAACTGCATCAATTAGGATCCCCAAGGAAACCTTTCAAAAGGATCACTCAGCATCCTGTCTCAGAAGTCTGAGGCCTATGGAACTCTCTGGCTGGTCTGATTCCCTGATGTAGATCTGCTGAGTTTCCCATATTAGACTGAGACCTTTGAGAGAGGAGACCATGTCTTGGCCTTATCCTCTTACCACAGAGACTTATCCTCTGTGCCTAATGTAGTGCCTGACACAGAAAAGTCCTTCAAGAGGTATTTACCATTGGCTTACCAACTGAGGAAACAGAGCCTCCGCCACCATTGAATGGTGGAATGACACAAAAATAGTAATGCTAAATAGCATTTCTTGAACACAGTGCCCTATTCTAGGCACCATCCAAAGCCCTTTACAAATATTTACAGCTGATCCTTGAATGACACAGGTTTGAACTGCATGGGTTTGCTTATACATAGATTTCTTTCCCCAGTGAATATAATACAGTACTGTAAATGTATTTTCTCTCCCTTATGATTTTTTAAAATGTTTGTTTATTTATTTTGAGACAGAGCAAGTAAGGGAGGGGCCGAGAGAGAGAGGGAGAAAGAATCCCAAACAGGCTCCACGCTGTCAGGGCACAGTCCTACATGGGGCTCAAACTCAAGAACCATGAGATCGTGACCTGAGCTGAAATCAAGAGCCAAACACTCAACTGACTGAGCCACTCAGGTGCCCCTGCCCCTTATTATTTGCTTAATAACATTTTTTTCCCTAGCTTACTTTCTCATAAGAATATGACATACAATATATAGGGCGTACAAAATATGAGCTCATTGACTATGTTATCAGTAAGGCTGCCACTCAAGAGTAGGCTGTTAGTAGTTAAGTTTTGGGGGGAGTTGAGAGTTATACATGGATTTCCAACTGCATGGGGGATGGTGATTGGCATCCCTAACCCCCATGTTGTTCAAAGGTCAACTGTGTTTATCACCATAACCTTAAGGGGTAGTTATTATTAGTGTCTCTGACAGAAGAAACTGAAGCATACACAGATAAATTCACTTGCCTAAAATCCCACAGGTGTAAGTTTATTAGACTCAGGTAGTTTACCTTTAGAGACATTAGACTCAACTATAGTGCTTCTTCGAAATGGTTCTCTTACCAGTCAGCCATGGAAGTAAGAGGACTTTATGCAAACCCTGGTGTACACACTGCCTTTTTTCTAGGCAAGCAGGGGAGTATTAGAGAATGAGCATTAAGAAGCACAATGCCTGTCCACCCACAGTTTGAGCAAGGAAGCCTAACCCACACAAAGTTAAGAAGCAATAATCATAAATTACCACTTACAAAGCAACCTATGTGCTGCAAGCTAAGTTACACATATTATGTTATGTTTTATATTTTCTAAGATTCTGTCAGGTACATATTATTATAACTAGAACAGTGGTTTTCAAACTTGAATGTGCTTTAGAGACACCTGGAGGGCTTGTTAAAACACAGATAAGTGGAGCCTACCCTTACCGCCCAATCCCTTCCAGAGACTGTGATTCAATAGGTATGGAATAAAGCTCAAAATCTGCATGTCTGACAAGCTTGTCCAGGTGATACTGCTGCAGCTGGTCCTGGGATCACACTTTGGGAACCACTGACTCAGAGAAAGATATGAAGCTCAGAGAAGTTATAGTAATTTCCTAAAGGTCTCACAGCTACCAAAGGAACAAACCAGGATTTAAACTCAGCTTTTGCTTACTCAGATGAGTTGTTGTAAGATGAAAAGTGTCAAATACATGGTTTTAACAAGAAGCATCTGGCACATGGTAAGGGGCCAATACATGATAAATTGTTTTCTATTTAATTTTGCTGGAGAGTAAGAAAACTGAAGGCTGGGACCTACAGGAGGAAAGACCCAGGAGGGGCTAAGCAGAGTATGTTGGAGAAATAAACTTTGTGGGTTAACAGTTCTGACCTTGGAATCAGCCTGCCTGGGTTCAAATCCAGATTCTTATTTTCTCTAGCTTGTGTGAACTTGACAAGTGGCTGGCTCTCCCTTTTTCTTCCCCATCAGTTTCCTTATTTGTAAAATGGGGTAAGAGTACCTAGCTCAGGTGATTGTTGCCAGGATTAAATTAGAAAATATATACAAAGCATTTGGAACAAAACCTGGGACAGCAAACCCTCGGTAAATGTTAGTTGTAATAATAAAGAGGAATAGGGGGAGCAGCAGCAATAACAGTAGAGGAAAGGGGTGAAGAGTGAAGTATTGGATCAGGATAGGTAGACCTTGAAAACTATATAGTATGACAAATACAGAAGCTATTGCAGGTGGTCAATCAGGTAAGTGAAATAATAAACGTGGTACTGAGGCAACCTGGCTGCATTTGTAGCCTAGATAGGTTGAAGGAAGAACAATTAGGGTCAGTGATCCAGGCATGAAAGAGGATGGTCCTGGATTGGGAAGGTGGAGGTGTAGTAGGAATGAAGCAGAAGAGATAAATAAATATGTGTGATATTGGGGAGGATATTTATTGTGAAAACAACATTACAGGAAATTAAAAACGGAAGAAAAAGTAGCCTTATTCCTACCACCCAACACCCTGATTGTTTTTATTCCCCTACCAACTTTTATCTATAGGTATGAAGATATTTTTGGCGGGGGGGGGAGCATAGTTATATAAAAACTATGTAGATGTGATTTTTGTGTGTCCGGCTTCTTTTTTCCCCACTAGGCATTACTTGGTAAACAATTTTTCATGTTACTATACAGGCTTCCTCAATCATTATAAATTTTAATGGCTGCATATTTCACCAGCTTAATGTGCTGTAATTTGCTTAATCATTCCCAGATTGTTGGATAATTAAGTTGTTTCCAATGTCTTCCTATTATAAAGTAATGCAGAAAAATTTCGAGTAGCTGTAACCTTTTTCTTATTTTGAATTATCTCATTAAAATAATTATCCAGAGTTGGGATTACTAGTTGAAACAATATGACTATTCTTCTTGTTCTTGATAGATTTCACCAAACTGTTTTCCCAGGAGACATTTTACACTGCCATTAGCAATATATAAGAACACCAGTTTCCGCCAAATCTTGCCATCTGTGGAAAATGTTTCTAATGCAATGGGTGTAAATGGCACCTTTTATAATTTTAATTGGCTTACTTTGATTATTCTAGTTTGAAATGCTTTCGTGTGTTTATTTAATATTTGCATTGTTTCTCAAGTGAATTGTCTGTTCAAATGATTTGCTTACAAATAAGTGACTCCTTTTGAGGGAAAAGTAGAGAGAACTGGTGACTGGAATTTGGGGAAGAAAGGAAATAAGTCAAAAATAGCTCTGAGCACAAAAACAGCACTCTGAGCCCCAGGGGACCTGGAGAAAGTTATTGACTTAGCTGGGACAGGTGAGAGAGGGGAGCTAGTTTGGTGCAGAAGATAAGTTCGAGTTGAGATATGTTGAACTTGAAGTTAGTGAGGAAGACCGGTGGATTCTTTGCAGGATATTTGTCAATCATCCAGGCAGGGGGTAGGATGAGGAAGAAGAATCAGCAAAGGAAACTGAATGGGCAAGCAGCTGGCATGGCAGAAAAAGTTGGCCACCGCACTATCACAGAAGATGCAGAGAGAACCGCTAGTGGCTGTGACAATTGGGACTCGCAAGTGACCTTCAAGAAATCAAACTTAGTAAAGCGGTGGGCATAGCAAGTAGATGGCATGATGGTCTGTGAGGGAGATTCATAGAAGAGAAATATACAGAAC